TGACTATTTATAAAAATTTGCAAAGTAAAATATGTTGGAAAAATAATTAATCCATACATATATAAAAGCTCAAAAGGTTTTTTTGTTGCATCCATCCCGCCGAAACCGCTTTACCAATCTTGATGATTCTTTTTTTAAATGAAAAGTATATATGTGTAGATTTGTTATGAAGTATTTTTATAGTGCTTAATGGCTATTTCTTTGTATAAAACGACTAAATACTAAAACATACCTGAAAAACACCTACACACAATACCTCCAGAAATAAATTATTTGTCATTGTCAGTGGTGTGTCAGTTAGATTATATATAACGTTTTTAGATATTTTAGAGTGAGTTCATGCCGCCAGCTTTACATACATAAATATTAGCACAAAGGTTCGTTTAAACGACATTAGTGAATTAGCTACACAAAGCGATTTTAGGAAATTCATCCTCTTAGAGAGTAAAATTATCTCGGAACAGTTTATTGTATGAAAATTCCTACTATTTGGTCTAGAAGAATGAAATCCTACAAAAAGAATTAGAAGAAATTTTTGGAATTCATCAACCAAATGGGTAAAGTTAGTAAAAATTTATATAAAACTTGGTGACCTCTGGATTATACACATAAAAATTGGCACAAAGGTAAAGCGAATTTATGAAATTTATACCCTTAGGGAGTAGAATAGGGAATTAAAGTTTGCTGTACGAAAATGCAATACTGTAACATTATAAATCAGACAGTATTTTATACAAGGGTTTATTTAGTGACATCATAACGAAATATATCTTCCTCAATTATCCTTCAAAGAATAAAAAATAACCTATAAAGAGAGTATTAGTGCTCTTAATAAATAAAAAAAAGATGAACAATAAAAAACATCTATGCTCACTAGCTCTCTATAAAGAAGTAAAAAATCATTTAAATCAATGCATGAACGATTCGAGGTGTAACGCGAACGTAGTCGCGAGAAATAGCTAGTAATTTATTAAATTATTTTATTTAACTCATTAATTTTCATTGAAAAGGAATTTTTGTAATTCGCCACTATATTAGTTAAAAACTAAGAAACTCATATCAAATTTAAGTTATGCGATTTTGACTTATACTTTTTACAAAATCTGAACACATTTTAAAAGAAAAAAAGTTTTTGATAATATTTGTGAAGATTGACTACAAGTTGTATAACATAAATTTCTACGACCGGTCTATATACCTAGTGGTCTGCAGCATCGCCTTGTGGTGCAAACGTGGGCCTGTTAATCTGTGACGTGACGCCAAGAAAAACAGAAGCGTGGCTAAGAATTTAGTAATTTAAAAAAAAGTCTTTTAGATACAGTAGTAGGTATTAAAAAGTTTTGTGTTTAAATGGGCTTTGCCTTTAACAGTTAAAAAATTATATCGTAAAGTGTAACTTTCCGTAAGAATTCTTTATCTGTCATTGATCATGATCTGTCATCATGTTAACCTGATGTTTTGTATTTTATTTTGTTTCTTTCGAGGTTTTTTTGCTTGCTTGTTTTACGGATAGGTGCGATCGCATAATTATTATTGATAATGTTTTATTTAATGTTAACATTACTACTTTTTCAGTGAATCTTTAAATCTGTTGTTTTTTGTTAAGTTCGTTATTTAAACATATGAATGTACACTCATATTAGCACTAATCATATTTTTACGTTTTTATTCATCATTTTCAATGCCCCCCCGGTTGCATCTTTGTAAAGGACTGTGATTTTTTTGTAATGGAACACCCTATATATTAATTGATTTTTAGATTCTAGTAAAAAAATAAAAGTTTGTTTCATTAGAAAAGTATGACTAAAATGTATAGTTTTGGAAATATATTCACCGGCACGAAAAATGGACACCTTAAAACTTTGATGTATTTTAAAGGTTAATATATTTTGTTTTAATGGGCCGATTTTGATGATTTTTTAAGCAGTGTGTAGCCAAATTATTTGACTTTTTAGTATCTTTTTCTAAATTGAAAATGAAACTCCCCATCTGTTAGTAATACGAGGGAAAACAAAATGTTGATATTTGGGTAAAAGTTTGAAACACCCTGTGGAATATGTTAAATCAGCAAGAAATTTAAAAATCATTTTAGCATCTAGATACACCCTTTCTCGATAGTTTGTTTTTTGGTTCATCTCATTAGCTTTATTTTTGTTCGAAATATTCGCTTTTGAAGAAAACACTAACATTTTTTCGTAATTTTTACATTAAGATCATGTCATTACAGGTACATCAGGTACATTAAGATTTGCTTCATTTAATCTTCTTATAGTCCTTAGTTAATATGTACGTTCCTTCATTATCAATTTGAAAAGCTGGCAAAGGGCGGTTTCTTAGCGATACACTTTGTAACAGTCAAATTTCCTCGCAACGACCTCTGTGGGCTAGCTCATAAAATATCGCAAATAGCTATTATTTCTGCATCATGTTTACTATAATTTTATTGTTAAATATTATTTTATTTAAATTTTACAATTATGCAACCCGATATACACCGCGCTATAGAGCCACAGAATATTATCACTGGATGCCGCCCAGCATTAGAATTTTTGTCCATCTCTCTAAATCTTTGGTCATCACTTGTCCCTTGTCACTGTCAGATCAAATCAGATGTTTTTGGATTTATTTATCCTTTGTTTTGGTTATTGAAATTTTATAATTATCAGATAAAATTTCGTAGTTAAATTGGTTATTTTTGATGTGGATCGCAGTGTGCAATTCGTTCATTTAATGGTGGGAATTTGTGAATAAGTTCGTTCATTGACCGGATATGAAATATGACAATAAAAATATTCTAGAACGTCGTTTTTTTATTTATGCCTTTTTGTGAGTTGGACTAGTCGAGATATATAGTTCTCTATCTATATCCTGGAGGGAGATTTCCGGTTGAAATCTGGTTTTGTGAAGGAAATCGAATCCTTGCATCACTTCTTGTGTATCCACCGACTGAAGAGTGTCGTCGTGAAGAACTGGCTGTCGTTTCGTGAAGCATTTCCTGTTGGTAGTTAACAGGTCTTCCTAGAGAAGGATTAAGGCTTCCGAAACACATTTGGTTAGAGACGTGGTTGGATTTTGTTGATTTGTATGGACCAGCGACCAATTTCCGTAAGGGATTAAATAGCCAAATTTTCCGACCGATATTCCGATTCCACGTGCCCAAGAAGTCCCCGACAGTTCCAAGGTATGCTATAATTCTTCTGCCTATTCTAAGTCAATGCTCAACTGATTTTTGTTCATATTGTTTTCTGGTTTTCGACTTTTCCACGCCCACGTGGTGTAGAAAGATTAGTTGAGTGTTATCTTTCTTAAATCTTATTTGGTTGTTCGTAATTGTAGAGCAAGAAGACCGATCCAGACCGTAGCACAAGAACAGTCCAGAATTCCATCCGTTCCTGTTGCCCGTGTGTAGAGTTACCCGATGGACATCATAAACTCTCGTTGAGGTAAAGTTCAGATTTGATTAGTCCTTCTTTATTACCTTTATTAACTCCTACACGTTGTGCTAGTCCTTGTTCTATAATTGAGGCTCTTTTCTAAGACAACCAATATTATTTAGGGTTTTTTTTATGTTCACCTCTTGAAGTCCTACACCTGGCCGGCATCCGTACGTCTGCTGACATCCGTGGGCTCCAGTGACAGTACACCGAGCTGCTGTGCACCGCCGTAGCCACCCTGTAGCTATACACCGTAGCTCAGCCGGAGGAACTTCCGAGTTGTTTCAAGATTGTACATCGATTAGAGTAAGACTGTTTAGATTTAGATTTGCTTTATGTAAACCACCCTGTTTGTATCTAGTATTAAGTTAGATAAGGGGGTTTGACGTCATAGGTTTAGTACTTATTGATTTAAATTTCATTTAACTTTACATTTCATTTAACTTCAATTTCATTTCTTTAAATATAAACTTTTTGATATTTTAATAAATTGCTTAAATATTTTTAGCAGTATTATTTACAGTCTGGTCTCATAGTTAAGTTAGAGTCACTTAAGTTTAACGAATTATAGTAATATTTGAAGTTCATGGTAGTTGCACTCAACAGTTCGAGGTTAGTGTTGAAGTCTACTTAATAGTAACATCTTTTATGCCGAGTTCATAGAGTATAATCTCGTGGCGCCCTTTTATTAATATCTTTGAACCCCGACCACCCGGCTGTTAAAAATTAAAAAGCTAGTGGCCTCTATGTAACTCATTCAGATTAAGTAAACTTTGTGTTTTAATGAACTTCGAATAAGAAAGGGCGTGGCAACTTACAATAAGTCGATCGTTTCGATTAGAAGTTCTCATACGAAGGTTCCTGGACGTCTAGATTGACGTCCTCATGGACGTGGTCATAATTCAAAAAACACTTAATATACTCTATGGTATTAAGGTATTTTTGGGGACCGGAATTGTATAGCAAATTCACTGAAATAAACAAATATAGATATATATTTGACTCACCCTGTATATCTATAAAAATATTTTTGAAATGTGAACTACCATTAAACACATATTTTATAAAAGATTTGGAGTGAAAATTTCAAATAGGAATCCTGATACAGAGCTTTTCCGGAATACGGAGCCATCTTTTATAAAAATTCGTTCACAGTAAATGAATTCGGAGGTTTGTATCCCATAAGCGCTTAAATCACTCCACTATATAAACTGTCGGCAGTTATCATATTATATACATGGTGTTCCTTAATGACATGCTAATATTTAAGGGTGTGATTCTTGGACCTATTCTAAAAAAAAACATCTTAATTTCTGAGTAAAGGGTTGTGATTTTTTTTAAATCATCCAAAAAACTTTTTTTTTTGTAATAACTCCTATTTTATTACAGATATCTTTATGAAACTTCATACACGTCTTCTTTCTTTTACTCTTGTAAATAATGAAAATAAAGTTGTTTTAGATTTACATACAATTAATTGTATGTAAACTATCAGCACCGTATCATCCATCAACAAATGGACAAGCGGAACGGTATGTGCAAACAGTGAAAGACGCACTATATACAATGAAAACTACGAAAGCAACACTACAGAGTAATCTTAACCAATTCCTTCGACAATATCGCAAAGCACCACATTCCACCACAGGACAGTCCCCAGCTCAATTGTTCTTAGGACGAGACCTTCGCACTCGCCTTAATCTAACGAGACCTGATGATATATCAACGAAAGTGTTGGAAAAACAACGAGCTGCGATGCAATCAACTTTTCGCACCTTGGAAGATGGACAAAGAGTGTATTTCCTATCTGGAAACCAGAAGCTCGATAAATGGCTCCCTGGCACAATTTCTAAACGAATAGGTGATCTCACTATGAAATCAACTATGAAGATAAACAAATAAGACGTCATATTGACCAAATAAGAATATTTCAAGGAGCAATAGAAGTGCCAACAAATGATCGTCAACGCCATATTCGATACTATGAAGAACCACCAATTGTACCAGCTACCAGAACATCAATTCGTGAACTAGAACCTCCAGTGATACCAGAGAATACACCTCACACTCCAATGATACCACGAAGATCAAATCGAGTGATTCGTCCACCACTAAGATATTCACCAAATTGAAAGGAGGGAGGAATGTTATATATTTATCGGAGTACACCTCCACCTGTGAATACCTGAAAAATAGTGAAGCTCATGTCATAAGTTTAGTTGTCAATGATTTGTAATTTTGAAATGGTATTTTAAATAAAAATAGAGTTTAGTGCACTTTATAGATATATAAACTCGTGAAAGTGCAACATAGAAACGAAATCTACGAACGCCAACGCAACCTCGTCAAACTTCGTGCTCAAATACAGACTTCGTCACTTTGGTAAGTCTCCTGTTTATAAACGTTGTTCAACATGGCTCAAGTAACACCAGAATTACTCCAACAACTATAGGGATTAATTGCCAATGCCATACGACAGTCTCAAATACCTGGTCCAACAGAACAAACGTCATCAGCACAGCCTCGACCACCCCAATTCTCCATGCAAGCGTATCGCGCTGCCGACGGAACTTCAATCACGGACTACTTTACACGGTTCACCTGGGCGCTCAATCTGAGTAAAATCCCTGAAGAACAGCATTCTCATTATGCACGTGTCTATATGGGTTCTGAGCTCAACGATGCCTTAAAGATCCTTGTCAGTCCTGAAGATCCAGAATATTTAACATATACTCAAATTCAAACGAAACTTACTGTTCATTTCGACGCAACACGCAATAAGTTTGCTGAAAGTATCAAATTTCGAAGCATCATGCAAAAACCAGGAGAATCCATTGCTAGTTTTACCTTAAGACTGCGACAAGCTGCAACCTATTGTGAATATGAAGCATTCCTCGACAGAATGTTGATTGAACAAATGCTCGCAGGTCTAGAGTCAAGAGAAATGTGTGACGAAATTATCGCCAAGAAGCCAGAGAACTTCACCGCTGCATACGAAATTGCCTACGCACTCGAAGCCACTCGAAACACTGCTGACGAAGTAAAGACTGCTGTCGTCAAACCAGATACAACGAACAAGATTGGATACGAAAAACCTCCATCTCGAAAGAATGGTAATCAGCGACCAAACAGTTCATCAACACGCCGATACCAGAAATCACCAAATCAAGCAAGGTATCACCAAACAAATCAGACATCCAAAGACAATCAGCCAGTATGCTCAGGTTGTGGTGAAAATCACCCTCGAAGTCAGTGCAGATTCCTCAACGCCAACTGTCTCAAGTGTGGAAAGAAGTGGACTATATATATTGCTGCAAAGAGATCCATGTCACACATACCTATGATCGACGAGATCCTGGAGGCAACCAAAGGAAAGACAGCAAGTGAAGTGAGTGGACTTATCACAGCTGTCATGGATATCCTACTCATCACAACATCACTCCAGACACACAGAATGTTCTATCCACTCAACATTCTAGTGAGAATAAAGGCTCTAACCAACCCAGTTACAGGAACTCTGAGATTAAACGAGAGAGACACAGGGTTAACAGGGGTCCCACATATGCTGAAGAAAATGAATATGTCGGGATGTAATGGATTTTATGTCTACAAACTAATTTCTCTGTTACCCTGGAGAATGGAAGGAAATTTCTCAGCATCACAGGCTAAACAAGTGTTCTTTCACTGTATATTTGGGAGCTTCAAAGATGATCTTGGTGTCCTTGCACAAATCACAAACCACACAACATGGGACACAAGAGAGGAGTTAGGCAAATGTTTCCAGATGCAAGGGACCAGCAAAAAACATGTGGAATTCAGGCCAGTTGAAATGAAGTACTACTCCAGACTATGCAACGCTAACCAATCAGGATTACTGACCTCCACCTATTCACAGATAAGCTCTCTCCCAGTTTTCAGTGGGAAAAGAAAGGTAAAATTTTCTGAGGACTTCTTCAATCAGATGGCAAAAAAGTTCAAAACAACAGGGGGTGGTCAGTCTGTGTCACAGCTTACATCGCACCTAATAACCACTAAGAGACATGCTACTTAAAGACCCATTCGTCTGGACTCCAGAAGGCAACAAAGCTTACGAAGATATTAAAAACGCTCTAACTTCACCGCAAGTACTCATCCAGTATGATCCAACCTTGCCTCTTCTGTTAGCCACCGACGCCAGCAAAACAGGTCTCGGCGCAGTGCTCTCTCATCGACTAAGCAACGGGCAAGAACGTCCAATCGCTTACGCCAGTAGAACGATGACAGTAACAGAACAAAAATACCCACAAATAGACAAGGAAGCTCTTGCAATAGTATGGGCGGTACAAAAGTTTTTCAATTACTTGTACGCACACCACTTCACGCTTATCACGGATCACAAGCCATTAACACAAATTCTGCATCCTGAGAAGTCACTACCAGTCCTGTGTATCAGTCGCATGGCGAACTATGCTGACTATCTGGCACATTTTGACTACGACATTGTCTTCAAGACTTCTAAAGAAAACGCTAACGCAGACTATTGTTCCAGAGCACCATTAACTTCTACAGTCAACATTATTCACAACTCTTCTTCCTCACAAAGGGAAGAAGCCGAGGATTTCGACGATTTCGATTGTTTCACTATACATCAAACTCAGCAACTACCAGTGAGAGCAGAAGCAATCGCACGCGAAACCAGAAAAGACCTACACCTTGGTAAGATCGTGAAAATTCTAGAAGATCGACAGGATTTAGTATATCACAACTTTAAAGCTCCCGAAGTTAAGTATACTCTAGCAGCCAACTGCTTGATGTTTGAGCATAGAGTAGTGATTCCGCCTTCTCTACGAGACACCATCCTCAACGACCTTCATGTAGCTCACCTAGGCGTAGTCAAGATGAAAGGATTGGCACGTTTTTTTGTTTTTTGGCCAGGCATAGACGCAGACATTGAGAAACTTGCTAAGTCTTGCACCGCATGTGCAACACAAGCGCATGATCCACCCAAATTTCGTGACCACCATTGGGAGTACCCAAAGGCACCATGGGAACGTATTCATATTGATTACGCAGGTCCAGTAGCCGACACGATGCTGTTAATCGTTGTCGACGCTTACAGTAAATGGGTTGAAGTAAAACCTACCACTCTTACCACAGCAGCTTCAACAATCGCTATTATGGACAACCTCTTCACAGCATATGGTACACCAATCACTGTTGTTTCAGATAACGGTAGACAATTCATTGCAGAAGAATTCAAGACTTTTCTGAAGAATAGTGGAGTAAAATACCACAAACTATCAGCACCGTATCATCCATCAACAAATGGACAAGGAAGCTCTTGCAATAGTATGGGCGTAAGTTGTTTTAGATTTACATACAATTAATTATAATATTAATTATTATACATCCTAGATGCGAGATTATTAAATATGTTCCTACAGGATTAAAAGATGAATGTGTGGTTATGCCGAATTGTACGTGTTAGAATTTTAAATACACTAGAGACCGAGGTACGTTTGATATTTTTTTTCCACAAGTTGAAATCTTAAGTAATTATGAATACTGTAAGTCAGCCACAAGAGTAAAAGAACTTTTTAATACGTTAAAACTAACTTATATAAATAAAGAAGAGCAGATTTCGACAGAAAAACTATGCAAAATTTTCAGATATTTCTCATTTACCAGGAGATAAATTATCCTAGATAAATTAACTTCTAAAAGTATTACATGTTCTATTTCATAAGTTCTCTCTTCGCATGAAAGAACTTCGCCTTGGACATTCAGAATCCCCCTTCAAGCGTTAAAATGTTGTGACCTCGTCATACTCCATGTGTCAGTTGTCCCATGTCCCATGTTTCCCAAATCTTATTGGAAAGAATACGGTACCCACCCGAAAGGCGCTCATCAATGGTACAATCCTTGGTCCCCGTGACAAACTTATTGTATTATCTTCAGGCACCCCATCAATACGACGAAAAGTTTGCAGCTACCACCCGTTCTAGTTTAGATAGTTTATTATTACTCGTAAACTATTTAGTTAATTATATAAAATTCATTGGCTTAATTAAAATTAAATCCTAACAATACAGAACTAAGAATATGCAAGACAATTAATACAAATAAAATTAATCGTCTTATATCAAGACTATATTTGATAAATATTGTTAGATGTTCAACAATTTTAAATTCATGTTTTTAAAAACGCGAGAATCGAAAAGAATAAGGTCTTTCTTTAAAACTACGACATAAAATAAGTAGCTAATATAAATTTAGAAAAATAGTTTTCTGTGTATCAGTACAAAAATTAAATAGTTTTTAGACATCATATGTTTTAAAAATATAGAAATCTGCCATATCTATATAATTATACGAAGTATAATTCTATACATTATACGAAGGAATATTTTAATAAATTATAAAATAAAATTTAACCTTCTTTCTAAAAAAGGCAAAACATCCCAAAGATTGAGACAGATTTAAGCTTAAACTTATGATACCCTCTATTTCACCCCTTCATTAAATTTCTAACTTGAAAAGAACACCAAAGTTGTATTTTGAAGCAAAAATGTAATGAGAAAGAGTATTTTTTTATATATCCAATTAAGCTTTATAATTAAGACCTCAAATAAAAAGCGTTTACATAGGATTGAGGTGAGCGACCTACGGAAAAAAATTTATGTATATAAAAAATATAATTTTTTGTAAAAGATTAAAATTTCCTTTTACCAAATTTCCTTTATCCAAGCAACGTTAAATAACTTTTAATAGAAAGAAAATATTTATTTTTGTACTGTAACCAAATAGTATTTCCTTAAATTCGGCATTGCTCACGAAAACACAGGTCACAACAAACTCTTCAGGTGTCAAATTTGACAATTCATTTCCATAGTTGTAGAATGTAGAATGTTTAGAAGGGGGCTTAATCGCAGCGACATTACAGATCTATTGTGGTTTGGTTTGGTTGAGAAAGGGGAACATTTCTTGAGTTATAGCGGGTTATAACTCGTCATACAGTCTCAAGGCTTTGACAAAAGACAGTATCTGAGACGGCTCCATAGAGGCGAGCCCTCTCCATCTTCAACAACAACCGTACCAAAGTTTGTGACACGAATGGTTGTCGTTCCAGCGCACTCAGTGATAAAGTGTTTTG